ACGTGTGAACTTTCAACAGAACACCGGTGTTAAAGGTGCTACGTTACACAAAATGGACTCTTGTGATCTTTAAGGCAGCCCTGGAGTTGTGTTTTGTTGTGTTTTCTTCACACATGTTTAAGTAAATGCTCTTTTGCTTCCACCTTGTGATGTCATGAAGTGGTAGTTTTCAAGTTAACAAGTCATTTTACCTCGTTTGCGTGTAAATGAAACAAAACACAACTCCAGGTCTGTTTGTGATCAGGAAACTGATCGGAAAATAGCTCTTTAAAACACAAATTACAAATCTAACCACAATCACAATTTAGTTTTCTTTCCTATTTTTTTTTATTTTTTTGTCTTTTATGCCTCCAAATTGTTCGGCCCAACTTTATATTTGGTTACATTCAGACTCCAGCCTGACGTGACCCAAATATGTTTTTTTCGCCTCTATGCTCATGTATCTGATCTTTGTCTGAGCTTGAAGCATATTATTATGTATCACTGAGTGTGTTTACATGCACATCAATAACCCGGTTATGATCGGGTTTTTTGAGTGTCCCGGTTTCTTGATGGTGCATGTAAACGCAGTAACCCGGTTTCAGTAACCCGGTTATTAGAAACCGTGTTACTGTAGCTGGTTTATTCCGATAGTAACCAGGATACTTGTGGCATGTAAACGCAGTATCCCGGTTACTGCAACATAAAGTTGAGTGCGCATGCGTCCAAAAGACACTTTCCAGCCTTTCACCACAACAGTAGTGACATAAATAAATTGACCAACATAAATAAAGTGACCAAACGAGTGAAATGACTGTAAAATTAAGAGCTGCGCTAAACCTGCACATGTACGACCTGCACTCGTGTGACGCTGAAAAGCTAAAACATGAACTATCTCCTGTACAACACACGCACAGAACAGACTCACCATCATTAGCGCCTCTTCTGTCACAAAAATAACACACATAATCCACAGAGTCGTGTCATTTAGTCCAAAAGAAGCGACACAAGGAGCGAGTTGTTTTTATCGCCGCTAACAGTTTATGCTAATTAGCCAAACGGTCTTAAGTTTCGTTTCTGTAAAACGTAAACAAATGTGATCAGAGCTGAATTATCTGATCAAACGGGCTGATGTGGCTCTGCAGTAGTTGTGGTTTATATGTTGTAAAGTTGAGTTTATTTATGCAGAAGATTTTAATGAAGAATCTGTTGGTTTGATGTGCACAGTGGATTGTGGGAGATCTCGTAGCTCCTTAGCTTCTTATGCTAAAGGAGCTCACGGTTTGTATTTTTCCTGGTTTATGAAATTGATTTAAGTTAATTTTTGCACTTGCGCATTTGTAATATTATGTCAAGAAACCGGGATACTCCATTTGATTAAGTATCCTGGTTTCTCAGTGCGCATGTAAACGCAGTAACACGAATACTGACAGAACCGGGATATGGATAATAACCGGGTTATTGATGTGCATGTATACACACTCATTGTCCCCTTAACAACCTTAAACGCCTGTTAAATCAAGTATTTGTTCAGTATTGGCCTCACCACAACACAGACTCCCAAACCCACAGGCAGTGATACGAGTGACTGAAATAGTCATTTAAACCTCCAAAGTGTCCAGACACAATGAAAACACTTCATATTTTTTTTTCTATTTTTTTTAAGACGGCTTAGGTTACATGGAGTGGACACCAATGTAATGCTGATGTTTTACAAAGCATGCATGGAATCTATTTTACGCTATGGCATGTCAACATGGTTTGATAACCTGTCAGTCAAACTTAAATCACAGATTTTTACCTTGACTAAAAGGGCGGGTAAAATAATGGGTGTGGCCCCAAGCTCACTTCAGCAATTTTTGAGGAGACTGAGAGGAAGCTCGACAGGAAGGTGATCAGTGACCCAACCCATGTTCTTCACGGTCAGTTTGAGTTGATGCCATCAGGCAGAAGGTTCAGGGTCCCAAACTGTAAACTGAACAGATTCAAACATTCTTTTGTGCCACTAGATGTTAATCTGCTAAACTCAGATAGTGCAGTTAAAAAATTATTATAAAAGGCTTAGGGAATGTGCAATCAAAACTGTACATAGGTTCAGGGAATGTGGAATAATTAATAGAATAGAAGAATGCGAGGGTTTGCCTGTTAAGAATAGTTTAAAGGTCCTGTTGGTGCATCACTCGTGGTCATACTTTGTCTCATATTTACTTGGTTCTATGGTGTTTGTTTATGTGCTGCTTGTGTTGTGTTGTCCTGTTTTTTTGTTGTTGTTGTTTTTTTTTTTTTGATAAAGCATGTTACCCCCTGTCCCAAGACAAATTTCTCCCATGGGAGACAATAAAGAATTATCTTATCTTATTTACACGTCACAGTGGGTGTAGTCATCTTGGTTTCTGACTCGGAATCCTTGCTCAGTTTCCTTTTTCCGGCAACAAGGTTTCAGTCTCGCCGTCCCAGGAAAAAGGGCGTGTCACGTGCGTCACTAGCCAACTCACTCAGAAAACTGATTCGGAAGGATAATCGAACTCAGGATCAGTCTGAACGGTGAGGTCGCATTCATCCCACCTGCACGTCACAAATGTACACAAACGTTCTTCCCGTCCCTCCGCTCTTGGCTCCGACTCCGCACTTTCTCCGGACGTTGCTGCCACTGCACAAAACCCCACAGCCAAAACCTTTGTCCTTCTCCTTCTTGATCTCCTCCTTAAAACACATAATCTGTACATGTTGTATGCATGCATGAAAAAAGTGTGTGTACATGTGTTGTTTGAATGACATATCTTTATCTGTTTGCACATGAATAAAAACATATGAAACAGAAATGGTAGTACTTTCTTTTCTATTCCCATGTGTCCTTATATCTGTAGGTTGCATAGTGTCCGTGTGTGTATACTAGTCCTCTTATGTCCTCTTATAGTTCTGATCCAGCTCAAGATCTTTCTAAAGACATTCAGGAAAGCTTCATTTGTGTCCTGTAAATGTGAGGTTGTGCTGCCCTCTTGTGGTGGTACAGGGATGTTTCTTTTTTTTTTTTTTTTTTGAGGTCATATCAGCAGGTTCCTGTCGCACTGCACCAGACAAGTACAGTTTTGATGGAGAAAAAGGACTCATTCAAAAACATACATAAAAGTGATATAAATATTCTCTATGCGAGATTTACATTTCATCAGCTTGACCCTAATGTGATCAAACATGCAGCTTTTTTTACTGATCACAATTATTATTCTTTTATTCTTAAAGGTCATCAGAACACCTCATTAAAAACATACCAAAATGCTGTGTTCCACCTTGTGATGTCATGAAGTGGTAGTTTTCAAGTAAACAGCTAAGTTTGACCTTTAGTTCAGGGGAGATCAGCAACTCCAGAGCTGAAATTACCCAAATGATTTTAATGAAAGTGTGTGGAGTTTAAAAACACAGTGAAGCACTTCCTGTATTATCACCTGACATGACATCACAAGGTGGAACAGAGTGTTTGAGAGAAGAACTGAGCCTAAATGTGCGGGGTTTGTGTGTTAAACATGTGTGAATGAAACAAAACACAACTCCAGGTCTGTTTGTGACGAGGAAACAACATTAAAGACACAAGAAATTGTTTAAAATAGGCCCTTTAATCACAAAAACATTAGACAGGAGGCTCTTTTTATTTACGTTGTAATTTGGTGGTTTGATTTGAGAAGATTATCCAATCAGAAAGTAGAATGCGTGTCATGTGACTCTCATTTGGGTTGCCAGTTTCAAAGCTGAAATCCAGCTGTTTTAAACCTTCAAGTGAACACCTCATTTTACCTTTAGTTCAGTAGAAACGGCAGAGGTGGGACCAAGTTGTTGTTTTGCAAATCTCAAGTCTCTGACGTCAAGTCCAAGTCAAGTCCCAAGTCAAAAACAGGTAAGTCCAAGTCAAGTCCAAGTCATTTCAAGTCTTTAAACCAAAAAAGTACCAAATATAGCTTAGATTTTTGCAATTATATGAATTTTAAACTAAATTGAACTTTAAAAGTTATGGTATATTTATATATGAGTATTTATATAGAAATGCACATTTTTTTCTTTTTAAATGTCTTGTCAAGAATTAAGATTTAAAAGAGCTAAAAAAAAATGTAAAAAGTTATTGGGGCGGCAGTAGCTCAGTTGGTAGAGCATTTGCCCACTGATCTGAAGGTTAGTGGTTCGACTCCAGCTGTTCCTTGTTATAAAGTGCCTTGAAAGTGGAAAAGCGCTACAGAAAAATGTGACCAATTTTGTCCTGAAGGATCATGTTCTATGTAGTTCTGTGTTTTACTGTATATTGCTGTATTGTACCGTGTATTACTGTACTGTACATTACTGCACTGTACTGTATTGTACTGTACTGTATACTACTGTACTGTACTGTACTGTATTGTACTGTAGATTACTGTAGTACATTTGAGGATACCACATCACAGTACTTCAGTTACATCCAACATTTATCCAGCATTTATCAAAAAACATATTTTTAATAGAAGCATCAAGTCTTCTCAAGTCACAGCTTCAAGTCTGAGTCAAGTCCCAAGTCACTTCAAGTCCAAGTTGAGTCACTATTTTTAGGACTTGAGACTTGACTTGATAAAATAGAGAAACTTAAGGACTTGGGACTCAAGTCATGACTTGACTCCAAGTCACGACTTGCAAGTCCCACCTCTGGAAATCGGCAATTCCAGGACTGAAATCATCCAAATGATTCTTAAAAATGTGAAGGTGAGTCTGAAAACACAGTGTAGTGTAATATGAGCCCTTTTAAAATATCAATTACAAATCTAACCACAATCACAGTTTTTATTAATTTTTTTCTCCCCGAATTGTTGAGCCCCACTTTATATTTATATATATTATCTAAATCTTTATATTCATATATATTATCTAAATCATATCTGGTCTGAATGGTCCCTAAACCCCAACACTCCACCTTTACCCACAGTTACCGCAGTAGTTTTGTTATCACAATTATCTCTTTGTTATAAAACTAAACTATGAATAAAAAAAAGACTCCACACGCTCCGTACAGATTTGTGCTTTATTCAGACAGTTTCGATAGAGTACAGTTTCTACCTTTGATTGCAGAAAGCGTTTCTTCTTTACATGGGGTGTGAGCGATCGAAGCGTCGCTGTGCATTATAATCTCTCTCTTTCAATTCACATACCGTACAGTTAATAACACGACCAAAGAAAATGTCAACGCCAGACTGACAGCAAAACCACAGCCTGAGAAAAGCGGGAGAACGTCCGCGATGAGGCTCCTGTCTGCTCGTCACAACATTCAGCAGCAGCCACAAACGAGGAGGAGAACATATAGAAGTACATATATAGAGCTGTCAAGATACTAAAGAACAGACTCAATACTCAATACCAATTCCAAAATGATAATAAAACACACTCTTTAGACAATAGAATGTGATTTTCAGTATTTTTTTGTCTTATATCTGTGCCCAAGTAGGTTCTGTAGTGCTCCATGAGTTCAAGATCATTCTAAAGACTTTCAGGAAAGGTTCATATCTGTCCTGTGAATGGAACTTTGAGTATCGATACCTGCTCAAATGTGTATCTGGTTTACTAGTTTTACTTTTGATTAGTAGGGATGTAACAATAACAGAAATTTCATATCGTATCGTCAAAATTGTTGTATCGTCTTATTCTGTAAAGCACTTTGAATGACTTTGGGGTTGAACTGTGCTATACAAATAAACTTGTCTTGCTTTGCCGTGGTGCAGCAGTAGCTCAAAAAAACAGAGGGAACTACATAGACCATGATCCTTTGCTGTTGTCAGTGCAGATTTACATGAAGAAATAGCTGTTATTAAGCACTTTTAAATCTGAATTCTTCATGTGTGAAAAATCCCCGTTGTCCAGGCAGAATCCATGGCAAAGGAGAAATTCAAATCAAATTCAGAACTGAAGAAGCAGCTTGGACGAGCCGCGAAACGTACTTGACCAAATAAACTTCTGTCCAGTTGACAAATTTAATTTCTCCTTTGCCTTAATTCTTCATAACATAAGTGTACCAAAGGCTTTTCAACACTTTTCCAAGGCTTTAAAAAAGAAAAAGTGGCGTTTTCACACTTTTCCACAACATATCGCACCATGACACCGTGAAATGCATGTCGTGAAAATATCGTACCGAGGGATTTCGATATTGTTACATCTCTTGATTATTATCTGATTTTCAATAGGCGAGTTTCATTGTTGACAAAAGCGCGCGTTGCATGCTGGGAATTATTTTGGTCGGCGGCAAGAAACACTAATTCAACATGACGGACGGAGCGAGAAAGCACGTAAAGGGTATTGATCCCGGTTATTTATCCACTCTAACGGCAGAGGACCCAAGATGATTTGACCAGAAATTGGTCATAAGCATCGACGGACGACAAATCACCCTTTTCAACCCCGACAAAAGGTGGACCAAACCAAATTTCTGGTCGGAATCGCCAACTACCTGGACAAATATTCACTTGGGCGATATCCACAATGACTTGGTGGAAACTCCTGGGCCATTCACAGCAGAAAAGATGAAAACCTCCAAGAGTCTCGATGTGTTGTTGAACTTGTTGGAGTCCACGGTTTGTTAGGATCTTCTACGTTTGCTCTGCGGATGTTTGAAAGCCGTTTAATTCACCGTTAGCTGTTCTTTTCACTCAGAATACGAAAAAGACATTTTCCTTCTTCCGTGCTTCTATTTGTGCATCCGATAATGCAGCAGGAATTTACCATTATCGGGGATAAATACACGAGGTTACGCACTGTGTTTGACGCTATCGTGTTTTCTTGCCTCCGACCAAAATATTTCTCAGCAGCAACGCGGGCTTTTAATAACAATGACGTCAGCTGAAACTCGCCTATATTTCTGTCAACCCTAGTTCATACTCATTCATTCCATCGTGCAGCGTTCTCTTGTTTTTCCCAGGCTGTTTGTCTCTTACATAATAGTGCACATTCTCAGTGAGGATTGTTAAAATAAATTACAGCTGATCGACAAGAGACTTCACCGAAGCCATAAAAGGAACCGGGCGGTCGGCTCCACGCACACGTCTGCGAGAGCCACGGGAGCAGGCGAAGACAGATCTGCTCCGTTCAGATGACTTCACTAAACTGCACAAACAAAAGGAGGGCACGACCGCTATCAAGAGGATTAAAAGGCGCACTGTGGAACTTTCTAGATCGTCTCCATGGAGATGTTACTGCATTGTATTTAGATTACAGAAAAAAGTGAGTGATTTAGCTGAAGATTGTGTTTTGTTTTTGTTTTTTTGGTATTTCTGTGTCAAAAGGCAGATTTCACTCACAAGTTGCGTCTGTTTTTATATAAATACATTGTTTCCTAGTACTTTTTTTGTACTATTTTTTTGCATGAACTCCCCCTGCAGGTGAAGCCTTGTGAGTGCACTTTGGGTCAGATACACAGAGAGAGTGGTCGCTTCTCATTTCTCTTTCCTCGCATCCTTCTCCTCGATTCCTCTCCTCAATTCTCCATTTTTCAGCTGTCAATTAATGTGTCATATTACCGGATTTTTCGGACTATAAGTTGCACTTTTTTTCATGGTTTGGGTGTTTCCTGTGACTTATATATTAAAATGTTCACACTGAAGCGGCGAGAGGCTCTAGTCTTTTGTGTCAGTATCTGCTACTCATATTACTCCTGTACCACTGTCACTTCACTCTACTGCACATGTCTCCTGCAGAAAGAGCCTCTGTTCCTGTCTGTACCATGTCAGTCGATTGCACAATTACTTCTGTACCACTGAACAATTTAACATTTAAACAAACTTATAAAGTCGACTGAGAAGACTGAACACAAATGCCCCCAAAAACAAAATCAGATTTTGCAGATTATAAGACTGCAAGTCGTGAAATCTGCAGCTGAAATTGATAATCAAGCAGCAGAAAAAAGTTTGGAGTAAGAGAGAAATTTGACACCGGGAGGATGCACCATGAAACTTTCCTGAAGTCACTGGATGGATGGACAAAGCCTGGACTTCAGTGACACTGAAACCATCCTGTCGGGATTCAGAAAGACCCGAATAACTGGAACTGATGCTGATCCGGAGGTCGAGGCCGAGTTGTTCAGAAGTGACACCGAGGATGAAGAATTGAATGGATTTAGTGATTTGGAGTGAGATGGAGAGTTTGGTAAACTTGTTCTGTTGTTTATGTTATAGTTTATCTGAAGAACTGTTCACAAGTGACGTTAACAGTCTGTTGTTCTCTCTTCTTTTGTTTTTACTACAACTTGGTCTCTGATTTTATAAAATACACTTCCACCCCAAAAGTGCGACTTATAGTTTGGTGCGACTTATAGTCCAAAAAATACGGTATGTGGTGTCCCGAAGAAAACCACGGAATGAAGACGAAAATTTGAGGGAGGCTTCAAGGGCAAGCATCAGAGAAAAGAATAAAATTTTATCAGTCTCAGTGAGGAGTTTGTATCCTCTCTCCTCCCTGTGTCTCCTCTGTGGGCGAGACTTCCTCACCCATCTCCTGCAGAATCGAGGAGAAGAAATGAGGAGAAAGAGTTTTTTTTTTGTCAACGGGTCAATCAGCAGCACGTCTTTAGTCGACCAATCTCCAGCCCTATTGCGTTGTCTGGAATGTCGCATAGTATGGCATTAAATGTATTTCTGTTGGGGTTGCTGCGGACCTTTTAACTATGAGTGCGCTCCCCACTCCGCAGATCTGTCCCGTAACCCAGGCCTGGTGACGTCATTCCTTCTCGTCTCCGTGGAAATTTAATACAAAATTGATTTCCTAACTTTCAATTCTTTAAATCAACAATGTGAAACGATGCCAAGTTTTTGGTTTATACGAAAATAAATTGAAAAAGTGCCACGCTGCGGAACATCCAGGCAACGTAACAGTATCACCATGGAGACAAGCTGTTACCAAGTGCGCCTTCAAGTCTCCTTTTACGTATTGAACTTTAAGATAGTTGAAAAATACCAGATACAGCCAACTTCAGTACAGAAAAGTCCCTCTCAAAAGGACGTCACATTCAATCATACGACTTATTTTTGGCTCATTTACTTTTCATTTCTGTCTTCAGCAAAAAGTAACATTACTTCAGAGTATCGATAATTTAACAAAATATAAAAAAGTGTAAGGCTGGAAAAATCTCCCATTGATTAAGACAAATAAGACCCCAAATAAACTACAATAATATTATAAAAGGTCCTGTATTACGCACAAGCTTCAAGCCATGTTAGAACGTTGCTACCTCCTCAAAAACGGGCCCCGAGTTGTGTTTTATTTTCATTTGCACGTTTGATTAAGCTTTTATTATTAGTCTGTTTACATCTCCAAAGCTCAAAATGCTCTATTCCACCTTGTGATGTCATGATGTGGTGGTTTTCAAGTTTAAAAACACGCTTCCTGTATTACGCGAAATGAACTAAAACACAACTCCGAGTGTATTTTTAATAAACAAAGATTGTAACATAGATCAGAAAACAGCGTAATATGGCCCATTTAAACTATACGAAATTATTAAATTAAGAAAATACATTTACGATTAAACTATTCTATAAAAAAAAAAAAAGCACTTTAACAGAAAATAATTTTGTGAGTGAGTGGTTCTCAAACTGAGGGATGCGTCCGGGTGGTTGACCGCTAGGAATGGGACGAGACGATTTCCACAAGACGAGACGAGACACGAGATTGGGAGAACGAGACAAAACGAGATTTTGACATAATTTCTAAGGTGTAAATAGTTGGATTTAGTTCCCAAACTTCGCTTCGGACTTTGTTTTTACTTCATTTCATATTTTTGTCGTCATTCTACTCTGCTTTTTGGAACTACAGCTTCTCAAAAGACCTTAATTCTTTTTTTGTCCAAACCAAAATGAGGAAAAAAAGTCTCACGATATCATTTTTCTCATGTGCGCAGTCTTGTGGCATTTTTGTCTGGTGAGATCTTGTCCCATTCCTTACTGTCTACATCTACTTTTTCGACATTTGAATAGATATTTTAAGTTGAACATCTCCAAATATAGTTCGCTGAAAGGTTAAGGTAAACTTTTACCGTCCCCCATAGAGAAATGTGTGAGGATTTGACCTGTAGTGTACGTTTTGAGTTGGCAGGGGGCAGTAACACTCAAAAGGCAGTTAAGGCTTACCTTGATGAAGACAATTTGAGTCTGAGGAAGGTGATTTACTTAATGGAATTGATTTACTGTATTTTCCGCACTATAGGGCGCACTTAAAAGCCTTTAATTTAATAAAAAATGACTGCGCCTTATATATGAATTTATTGGGGTGTCTTAGTACGGCTTTAGTAAACTACAAAGCCGCTCCACTTGCAGCATTACGGCTCCCGTAGTCAGGAGCATCAGGAGTAATGCAGACTGTGATTCCTTTTAATATCAAAATGCACCTGTCAAGAGACACGCTCACAACGCCCACTTTAAACTCAAGAATGTTATAAAGTTAAAATGTGAGCTGTGTGAGAGCAGTGGATGAGAGAAGAAGAATACACATTCACGAAGACAGAGAGACAGCGGCGAGTGACTTACTGATCTGTCAACAGCCAAGTTTGACCTTTAGTTCAGATCTTTCAAAGGATCGTGGACGTCTGGGCTAAGGATCAGTATCAACTGTGGTCCGAGCTTTCACCAAGACCAGAATCATCACTGAACTGCCAGGGAACAGTAACCACACTGACTCGGATAATGACGAGAGGGATGTGGACGAGCTGGACGCCGGAATCACCCAACTCTTTGGACTATTATAACTTATTGTGAATACGCAACAATTTAGCATCTCAGACAGTATTTTTATTTTTTTTATGCATTACAATTGAACAAAGTTGAGAGTTATTGTGAACGTGTTAAATAAAATTTGACTGACTTATCTAACTGTTGTGTTTCGTTTAATACGCCTCATAGCCCGGTGCGGTTTCTATGTGAAAAAAGTTCTAAAATAGACCATAATCCAGAGTGCCCTATAGTGCGGAAAATACGGTACTAGGAATGCATTGATCGTTTTCTCAAATTTGATACGCGACACATGGTTTTGACATCAGAATGATCTTTATATGCATTATCGGCGATATCAGCAGATTTCCCCAGATATCGGTATTGGTCCAATATTGAAAATGTTGCAGATATATAGATTTTAAATGCTTAATATCAGTATCAGCTCTCGGCCACAATGGCAAAACAAATACTGGATATCAGTCCTGGCTCAAAAATTCATCTATAAACTAAACATTTGATCAATTAGCGCTTTTCTCGAGCGGTTTTCAAAGCTATTGCGTGTGCTGGCGATGTGTGACTGGTAACGTGAGGGTGGTATGGCACGGATTTCAGATTGGGATTCAACGTAGCGCAATTTCTTTCAGTTTGAGAACCACGAGTCTACAGCGAAACATTGCACGAGTCTGAAAGGGAAGGTCGGGTTAAGAGATGTAGCGGAGAGAGGGTGCGGCGGGGTTAAAAGATATAATCCCGCGTGATCTTGAGGGAGGGCATGGCCTCGTTGACGTTGGTGTCCAGGCGATGGTACTCCACCGAGTTCCTGGAGCACAGACCGTCCTTCCAGCGCCGGCTCTGGGCCAGAAGAAAGATCTGAGGGGGGAGGAGAAGAGAGACCGTTAACAACATTGCACTTCAGTTTTTTTTTGTTTTTTTTTCTTTTAGAAGTGCGGCAATATAACTTTTTGGTTGGGGGTCAATCTGCTCGTTTCTATGGCAGGGTATCTCCAGGTTTGACTACCCCAAATTTAAGATTTTTATAACCTTTTGAAGACCACTTAAATGAAAAATAAAACCAACACCGTACCCATTATGCAGGCAAAAAACATCAGATCCAATTCTAATAATGACCAACTACAGCACTACAGTACTACAGTACTACAGTACTACAGTACTACTATATCTAGAACAGGGATAGGCAAACTAAGGCCCGGGGGCCATATGCGGCCCTTTAATCCTTTTAATCTGGCCCTTCAAACCTGTATAATAAGAGTAGTAGTAATAGTAGTTGTCGTTGTAGTAGTAGTAGTAATAGTAGTTGTAATAGTTGTAGTAGTAGTAGTAATTGTAGTAGTAGTAGTAGTTGTAGTAGTTGTAGTAGTTGTAGTAGTAGTTGTAGTAGTAGTAGTAGTTGTAGTAGTTGTAGTAGTAGTAGTAGTAGTAGTAGTTGTAGTTGTAGTAGTAGTAGTAGTAGTTGTAGTAGTTGTAGTAGTAGTAGTAGTAGTAGTAGTAGTAGTAGTAGTAGTAGTAGTAGTAGTAGTTGTAGTAGTAGTAGTAGTAGTAGTTGTAGTAGTAGTAGTAGTTGTAGTAGTAGTAGTAGTAGTTGTAGTAGTTGTAGTAGTAGTAGTAGTAGTAGTAGTAGTAGTAGTTGTAGTAGTAGTAGTAGTAGTAGTATAGTAGTAGTAGTAGTAGTTGTAGTAGTAGTAGTAGTAGTAGTAGTAGTAGTAGTAGTTGTAGTTGTAGTTGTAGTGTAGTTGTAGTAGTAGTTGTAGTAGTTGTAGTAGTAGTAGTTGTAGTAGTTGTAGTTGTTTTTAGTGTTTTTAAATGTAATTTCAATAAATAGTAAATACAGATACATACAAATACCTGCTCTAAATACATTTTAGAGCAGGTATTTGTACTTCCTGCTCCACCACATTTTTGAACAGGATTGAAAAGTAAAAGTATTTGATGATAGTCTGAGACCTGCGGAAAAGGCTGAGGGTTCATAATCTGAGCAAACAAAAACAAAATTCAGCACAAATCTGTATCAAAATCACTACATCTGAAGATTTATTAGACCTCGAAATTTGTGCAATATACTTTTCAATATTTTTTTTTAAAGAGGCGCTTTAATACATTTGCTTAAGTGTATACTTTTACTTGATTTTTTATTTTTTTTTTCTGTTTGTTTTGCTCCAGTACCTGTACTTTTAAGTAACAAAACTGAGTACTTCTTCCACTGCCGCTAACCCTGTACTTTAAATCTGTACAAACATTCGTGTATCACTTTGTCAGTTGATATTTTCAGTGTTTTTGTCAGTGAATTGTTAATTGGGGTTCAAATTGTGAACTTGTATCGTGTGAAGTCCTGTTAATAAAACAAGCGCATACAGGAAATCTACCCACCCCCTGCAGCATACTAGGGTTGTCAAAAGTAGGGATGGGCATTCGATTAAATTTTCTTAATCGATCGTCGAGAGAATTAACGATTGATTATCGATTAATCATTAATGTTTTTAGATTAAAATTATCATCATTATTATTACTATCTGCACTAGGGATGGGCATGATTAGTCAATTAATCGATAACTGATCATTAAGAATTTCATCGATTACGTTCATTTTAAATCGACAAACTGAATGTAGGTTGCTGTGTGTAGTGTGACCAAACAGGGGTGTGTACATGTGTCTCTGCATCAGAAGGAGCGAGACACAAACAGTCGGTCAGTCTGTAACGTACTGAAGTGCAAATGCGAACGATGTGCAACGATGATTTGTACAAGCAAATTCCACACTTTCCGTTGCGTTCGGGACAAGTGTGAGTCCATGTGCACAGTGTATAAAGCAGCACATATGTTTCTGTGTCCAGTGGGAAAAAGTTTTGTCAGGTGAGAGTCGCTCAATGTCGATGACGAGTCCCCACCTCCCTCCCCCCGTACGGTGTCCTGGTTTTGACAAACGCAAATATGTACACACTAACCTGTATTCCACTGAGTCATGTCTTTTAATCCGACAGAAGTTGAACCACATCAGCGACACAAGAGCTGGAGTTTTATCTTTGCTTAGTTTATGCAAATTAACGATGCGGTTTTAAGTTTTGTTTCTGTGAGAGTTGCACAAAACTGAATTAAACACATTCTAATGTCAAACGGGCTGATGTGGCTCTAGAGTGGTTACGGTTTATATGTCGTAAAGTTGAATTTATTTATGCAGATTAGTAGTGCAGATAGTAATAATAATGATGATCATTTTAATATAAAAACGTTAATGATTAATTGATAATCGATCGTTAATTCTTCCGACAATCGATTAAGAAAATTTCATCGAATGCCCATCCCTAATCTGCACTACTAATCTGCATAAATAAATTCAACTTTACGACATATAAACCGGAACCACCCTAGAGCCACATCAGCCCGTTTGACATTATAATGTGTTTAATGCAGATTTTTTTTTTTTCCCGACGATCGAAATTTAACTGAACGCCCAACCCTAATCGAGATGTATCGTATCGTGGCCTATGTATCGACACTTATTGTATCGACAACTTCTTAATGATATCCAGCCCTAATGCCCAGTGTCGGTAACTACGTCAGAAGTCGTCATCTGCATGTTTCCAAACGTCTTCCAAACGTGTGAATAGTCTATTGTTTAGTATCGTGAAACACCACAGCGCACTGACCTTCCTCTTGTTGTGGTAGGTGATGTAGACGATGGCGACGAGGATGATGAGGACGACGAGGTGAAAGAAGAAGTGAGAGTTCTGCTCGCTCGTGTCGACTACCTCCAGCCGCGTCACGAACTGATTGGGCACCGCGTTTGGCCTCGTCTCCTCCTCCTTCACACCCGTGTTCCCCCCGGGCCTCAGCAGGGAGTCGTAGTCATTGTATGCGTCGTCGTCTTCGTCTTCATCTTCATCCTCAGCATAAAAGTTGCCCTGCTCCATGTCCTGTTGAAATGTTGAGAGGAAATTAAGTAAAGACAATGTCAACTTTAAAGGCACTGTACCAGATTTTCATAGTCTTAAAAAATGAAAGAACAGAACTACCGGTAGTTCATTTTCAGTGGTTTAATTTTACCTCAAGAGCCGTTTTAATAATATATCTGTACTGGGGCAAGACACTATTGGCTCAGATACAAGGGGGAAATGGGTACAGGGAGTTTAATCTTAATTTAATAGTAACAGGGACTGAAATTTGCTGTTGCATAAAATGTGTAATTCTGTGAAATTATTCTCAATTAAATATTTACTAATGAAAGGCAATGCAATAATGTGTTTTGGTGCTGAATTCATCCTCATGTTTTTGGTAATGTAATGTAATTAAAGTGGAACTAAAAACTAAGTCAACCTTTTTCTGCTACTAAACTGTGCAAATGATATTTTAATAGCATTATCTGCTGTATACATCAGTCACTTGTTGTGCAAACTAGGTACATTTGAGTGTGAGCTGCTTCCAGTGGCCACTGCAATTTCAAGTACTATGTGCCATCACTCAGGATTTCCTTAAGTTTGTTAGATTACAGACAGGTGTTTCTGATACAAACACCTGTCTACAGGGGCGGAGTTTGAAGTATGGATACCTGTTAGACCAATCACACTGCTCCTTACACCTCCAGACCCCACCCCTCTTTCCCTGTCACACTCCTCTAAGTCCTCCTTTTTTACTGTAATAACTTCATGTAATTAATTCATAATAATTCATTCATTAATATTGGCCTGCATATGAGGAGTCGGCAAACCTGGACACAAATTGAAATAATGATTGTTTGGGCGTGTTAATGCAGGCTCTTGTTTGAGCTGGTACTGCTGTCACTTATCAAAGCCACACTGATTGACAGTCCATCACACAGTGTGCACACTCTTCCGCAGGAATTCCAGCCTGTACGGACTGAAGAACAGCTGCCCTGGTGCAGAATAACTGAAGTGCGGCTGCCAATCAGCGCCATCAGTCCCTCCGACCACCACCACCACTCACACACACCACTTTCATATTAGGGAATGTGGGTGAAGTGTCTTGCCTAAGGACACAATGACTGATTTTTTTTTTGGTGACTGGTGCCCACTTCGCCACTAAAATCACAAAATCACTGTGACATGTGTCCCAGTGTTTCCTCTGCATTTGTGCATGGTGGCCCGCTTGAATCCTGCCACAGCTACTTTGTCAAAGCCTGATATCCTCACATGTCAGAAGCTCAGCGGGGTCTGGTCAGGACTTGGATGGGAGACCACCGGGAAAATCAAGAGCCACAGTGGGGCGCCAGTCACAAAAACTGATGCTGTGTCCTTAGGCAAGACACTTCACCCACATTGTATTAAAGTGGTGTGAGTTCGAGTAGTAGCCTATCACCACTGAGTATGGAATGAATAAATAATGCACCAAACTGTAAAGTGACTCTGAGCGTCTGGACACTACATAAATGCTGAATAAGTCTAATGCATAATTATTATTATTATTATTATTTTATAACTTGTTATAGATAAGGAGTCAGAGCCATACTAATAATATTCATGGAAAGCCTCTGCGGTCAGAGAAAACACTGGCCCTGTTTCAAGAAGCAAGTTTAGGCCAAATTCAGACTTTGTTAACGGTGAAAAGAGCTCAACTCAGAGATTTCTATTTCAGAGAGACTTAATCCAAACCCCGAGTCAGTCACCATGACTCAGGGTTTTGGGTCATGGTGACCTAACATGGTTCAATATGTGAATCTAACCTGGTCCAGAACAGGTTTTCAAATCATTTCAGATCATTTTAACTTAAAAAACAAACAAATAAACAAAAAAACAGTCTGTTTTTATCTCAGGCGGCTGCAACAAAATGCTGTATGCCTTTTGGGTAATATTATTTGAATTTTCAAACTAAAATAATGAATTGAGTACACTATACCCCTCCACATTTAAAGTATATTAAACCTGACTGATCCAAAGTCACATGACTTCCTGTCCTGATGGAAGCCTCCTCTGGTTTACTGTTGCCATGGTGAATCCTCTTTTCTAGGATCCATTGATAAAGTACTGCGTCTTCTGCTACACTCAGGATTTACCATCTCTCTCTGCGCCAAATCCGAGTTAACTTTTAAACCCAGAGTTTATTGAACTTCCTTTATGAAACAGGGCCACCGTCTCCATTTCAGCATCCATTCCTGACCTGTTTGCTGGTGACTCTGGACAGCAGGTCTTTCCCATCTGTGGTCATTTCGGGCAGAGTGGTCAGGTCAGTCTCTTCTGTGACCTCTGTGGGTTTGGTCTTGTCCTCTGTCTCGCCCTCGCCCTCCTCGCCCTCCTCTTCGCCCTCTTCGCCCTCTTCGCCCTCTTCGCCCCCTTCGCCCCCTGTTTCCGAAGAACCAATCACCGTCATCTGTGCAAACCAAAGTCGTCATAACAAATGATTACAGATATACAGCAATTTAAAGAGGGGGTGTAATGCAAAATGGACTCAGCTGGAGCTTTTATAATGTTGTTCCCTCATTAAAAACATGACTATAGTTCTGAAGTATGTCATCCAAGCATGCTTGAGGAATCTAATGATCTAGTATCCAAAAGGTCAAATCCACTAATGTTAAACCTGATCATTTCTACTCACTGTATTATAACAAGATCTGATTTGATTTGAACAGTCTTCCATTTTGCTGCCTCCATCTGGATTAAGTATTATTGCCCTGTAAAAATGCTGTGAAGTGATCTGAAACCCAGAAATTGTTACCAACTGTACCCGTACCTCCGAATTGTCCATAGGCTTATCTTCAGGTAAATTGGTTGTCTTTTGTGGAGATGTTGGCGCTTTGGTCATGGTTATGTCACTTAGACCTGCTGTAGCGGTAGTCTTTCCAGTATCCACATTAACCGGACTTTGTGTTGTTGCTGTTTTCTCAGTACTAGCATTCTTTTTACCACTGTCATCCTTATCATCATCTCCAGTACCAGCTTTAGTACCATTATCTTCATGGCTATTATCATTGTTCTGTATTGGATCTTCTCCTTCTGCAGTCGAGTGTGAAGATGATGCAGCTTGCGAAGCATTAGGATTCACGGCGCTAGACTTCTTTCCGGTCGTCGTCGTTGTTGTTGTTGTTGGCGGATCAGGTTTTGGGGCAGTTTCGGAACTGTCCTTTGTCTTCCCTGCTGTGGTTGCTTCAATGTTTTTGGAAACTGGTGGATTTCCAGAATTATTGGAGTTTCCTGAGTTGGGCGCTGAAGCAGGATCTTGTGGACTGGAGTTATTTTCTTCTGTCAGGTCTGGACTTTGGGGGTCGTTTGAGTTTGCGACGGGGTCATGCTGAGTTTGGTTGAGTTCTGAAGGCACTGAGTTGTTCATGCTGTCGTTTCCTGTGTTCAGAGCTGAAGCTGCATCACCATCATCACCTGGTTGTGACTCTGTAAAGACAAAAAAATAACAGAATTAATGCAATCTGGAGTGAAAATGTAATTTAGCTGTGGTGTAATTGCAAATAAGGATGTCATCGAAAATCAGATACTAATCAATACCAGAACTAGTATCAAAACGAGATACTCATTTGAGCAGGTATCAATATTAAAAATGTCACATTCACAGGACAGAAAGTGAGTCACAGACCAGCAGTAAACAGTGAGGGAGGGGATCTGGGGGGTGATGTTGATGCTGAGTCCAGACACAGACTCTAGAAAATAACTCATCTAGGAAATAATTTAGAAAATATATAACTCACAATCATGTAGGAATTACAATGTTTTGTATCATTATTATATCAGAGTAATATTATAAAAATAAAAATTAAGAACAGAAGAACATTTTCATGGGCGTGTGTGGAGCCTGTGGCTAGAAGCAGTAGAGAATGAGGGGCGCTGTAGTCCGTTTTGTGGTTGTTGTAGTTTTTTTTAACACTTCTCCTATCTGCCTAGGACTCTTATGTCTGACCCTGTGACGTAGGGAAAGGAGTTAGGGGCTAGGAGGAAAGAGCTATGATTTGAAGTATTTGGAACGAGCCTTTGATTTGAGATACAGAACTTTTCTAGTCATTCTGATCTGAGGACTGAGAGGTAAGACTCGACTCCCACCTTCCTCTGGCTGGCTGCATAGCCTGGTTAATGTGGGTCGAGGAATGAAGTTGACTCACCCTTTGGAGGGAGCCTTTAGTGTATGGAGATTGTTCTGTTGTGCGTAAAAGTAAAGCTGTAACAGAACTCTTCTTCACAAGAAAAAAAATTGTCCAATAAAATCTGCGCAGCCGTGTTTGCAGTTTGACAGCGAGCGAGAGACAAGGTAAAGAGGAGAGAGAGACAAAGGCGATGAAGGAGCACATAGCCAGAACTCACTGAAACTCAGCTCCTCCTCAGAGTTCAAACCAGGGTCTGTCTATGTCTCTTACAAAAGACATGTGCATGTGCAAGATCATTTTAATGAAATAATGGCCATACGCTTTTATATGGTTTGTGCTTTTTTGATGAGTGCTTCATGTGTAGATTACGGCTGGTAAAAGTCTCAAGTGACACGCGACTCTAAAAGTCACTTTTGAAACTGCATCACACACACAGGTGTTCTAACACAGGTGTGTGTGCACGTGCTAAAACTTTTCACTGAATTCTTTCTTGAAGACAAAGCCAAAACAATCTGGATAGTGAGCCTGGTGCCAGCCAGGTTTGTGCCCAGGTTCTTGTTACTATGACAACTCAGCGCCAACTCCGGGTAGTCTGGTTAGACAGTTGGATAGGGGTGTGCATAAATATTGAAATACTGTATCATTTAATGTGACAATACAGTATCGATATCGTGGGCTGCTGTATTGATATACTGCCAAAAGTATTTATAATATTTTACTAAATGATTTTGTTACAGTGCTACAATTTTGCTGCTTGTTCAGAAAAAGGAAACTTGTTTATGTGACACATTTGACATTTTCACTGTTTTGATGATTAAAATGGACATGGTTTAACAAAGACTTTTAGTATCACAGCCATGATTTAGCCATTATTTTTGATCGAATTGATTTGAAATATATTGAATCAAATCAACAGTGCACTGTATTGCGATATGCAATATGTATCGTATCGTGGCCTATGTACCGGGGCATGTATCGTATCAGCAACTCCTTAATGATACGAGCCCTACTGGTGAAACAGAACGGAGGATGTGAGCCTAAAATTACTCGCGACTACGAAAAATGCTTTTCTGACAAATATCTCAGGCAAACAAAGATCAAATTAATTCAAATTCAGGATTGAAGAAGTGAAGGAGTGAAGAACCATAAAAACACAAAACTGCTATTTCAAGTTTCAAAACAATGCAGTATTACAACATGCCATCGTCTCCGCTCACTTTGGATGTGCTGTTTACATGTGATGTTTACATGTGCTGTTTACATGTCTGTTTACGTCACGTCAAGTACCAGACTCCTCGTGTTCAAAGTCCACCAAAACAAGACCCAACCTGTTAAATCACTTTACACGGTCAGTATATAGAGCGGTCATTCTTCAAACTTCAAACAACTACAGACGTTTAAATGGAAGACAGAAGCTAACAGTGAACAGGCAGGGGGTTAATTAACTGTCAATTTATGATGCAGACATCTGGAACAACTCAGCACAACAAAGATTTTTGAAAAGCAATTTAAAACTTAAGCGCTTGCATTGATGTTGACAAATAAAATGCAAGTGGTAAATTGGTATATAGCAGGGGTCTCCAGCCTGTAGCTCAGCAGCCACCAGTAGCACTCTACCTCCTCCCAAGTAGCTCGCCAAAGAATTTCTAAATTAGTAAATAGTTTTGTACTGAATAGAATGTTAAAATTGTAAATGTATAATTTTCATGCCTAATTTTCGTTTCTGCACAAATAAATGGATAATGGTGTATGTTTTATAGGCCTCTAACTGTTTCAATCTAAGGCCGTGGATCTTATATTTACTTATTTAATTTGTTGTGAAATTTGTTGTGCTAAAATGAGTAGCTCACTAGAGGAAAAAAGGTTGGAGACCCTCGGTATATAGTGTTGTCACAATACTAAAATCCCAAACACAAGAAGAAATGGACTCAATATTGATTCCAATTCCACAGTGATAATAAAAAACACTGTGGAACATTAAATCATAGAACTTTCCCCATACAGTCTTATATGTGTGTAATCCTCAGTGGTCCAGGTATGTTCCATAGTGTCCATGAGCGTATAATACTAGTCTATGTGCTCTTGTACATGCTCTGATACAGCTCAAGATCATTCTAAAGTGATTCAGGAAAGCTTCATTTGTGTGGAACTTTGTCAGTATCGATACCTGCCCAAATCTAGTTTTGATACTAGTTTTAGTATGAATTATTATTATTAGCATCTGATTTTTGATGCGTTTGACAGTCCTATTTTTTAGCTACGTAAATGAATGTGACAAGTCCTGCTAATTAGTGTATTAAGAACACATTTACATAGATTTACAATTTTAGAGCGGTAACTGCATTTCAATATATATTTTTTTTTATTCTTAATGTTAATATCACTTCAGAAACAATAAGTCTACACTCATAACTACATACATTAACTTAAGCATTGACTTGTAAGATCTGTGCTTTACTTGAGTCGTATTCTAGTTGAGTACTTACTTTGACTGTACTACATTTGACAAATCTAATTTTTTTATTCACTTCATTTCTAAAAAGGTGGTTTTGTGGAGGAGTTTTCCATGTCTTTTGTCCCATTTACAGCATCATAGTGCGCATTACACAGATTAGATATGTGCAGATGTGCTGTAGATTCACAACACAAACTGGTATTTGTTCCAGAATTAGCTCCAGATTAGTCACTGAGTGATTTGGTTATACCTCAAACAGAAACCTCTCTGAGGTAAATATGCAGGGCATGTGTGAATGAAACAAAACACAACTTCAGGTCTCTGATGAGGAAACTCCATTATAACAGATCAGAAAATAGTGTAATGTGGTCATTTAAGTTATCACTCACAAGCTTTATTTAAAATAATTTGTTTAAGAAAAAAAAAAAAAAAACTTTCTAGGAGCAAATGTAAGTACTTTAACTTAAGTAATAATTTGGCAGTGCTACTTTTACTTTATTTGAGTAATATCTGGCCAAGTTTATCTTTACTTTGAGTACTTTGAGCACTTCTGCCTGCGCTTGAATGAATACAAGAAAACTGTTTTATCAATCAATAATACAGAATCTTATCAAAGAGTCAGCCAGTCAACCAAAAACTATATTTAACAACAACTTTTGGTCTATTTGCTTTAAACACAAGCATATATTTACTTTAAGTAAATGAGCTGTTTACGTAACTTTGCGACACTTAATTTCGATTTACGTGTAACAGCCAAAACATAGGACGTGGAAGCTGCCCCAAGAGGAAGTTAATTAGAGATTAACATATTTATTTAGACTAATCTAATGACGTTAATGAATAGATTTGTGCAAATAAAGACATTCTTGTCAACCAAATCGATGCCATCAGAATAAAATGGTTTCATTTAGTTAGGCTCAACTTTAGAGGCGATCGCATTACTGTTACATTCACTTTTTTCAACTTCTCACAGCATTTGGAATCAGACATTAAGCATGAAATAAACAATCTGGATTCTACATGGCGTAATTCCGCGTGTACAGACAAATCTTAAACTTTGGGACTTGTTTGTTTTGGCTGACTCGTAGCGTTAGCATGAGCGGCTAGCACTGTGATGCTAAGTCCAGAAGCGCGGGCTAAAACAGAAAATACCCAAAGATCCATACCGTGTTTAGGAGTGGTGCCGTTCGAGTTGCCCACGGGAGCCGAGAGACATGTCTGGACTAAAAGATGGCAACAAATAATGGCAGAAAATAAGAACATGTTGACGCTGTTTCGTCTATTCGTGCCGCTCGCCGCCATGTTGGATGCGTGAATGAGGAGAGTGAGAGACGTGCGTGGGCGCGCGTGGGCGCGCGTGGGCGTGCGTCACAGGGTGTTTTCCTATTTTATTTTATTTTATTTATTTTATTTTTTTGTGGGCGGGAAGTTACGATGGAGTATAAGGGTCAGATAAAAAAAAAAATGCTGGCGCTACGAGAATAAAGTCGTAACATTTCGACATTAAAGTCGTAATATTATGAGAATAAAGTCGAAGCCAGAAAAAGTCGTAATTTTACGAGAATAAAGTCGAAGTTATAAAATAAAGTCGTAATATTATGAGAAAAAAGTTACAATATTACGAGAATGAAGTCGTAATAAAATCAAAGTCAAAGTGAAAAATGCGGCAGAAGAAGAACCTTGTTTTTCAATATAAAAACCAAAAATAAGAAAACGAACAACAATTTTCTTCATTATTTGCACCTCCGGACTGAACCAGGACTAAATCAGGACTAAACCAGAACTAAAGGAGGTCTGAGACCAGACCGGGACAGAGACCAGGACTTAGACAAGGACTGAGTTAGGTCTCAGCCGGGATCAGACAAGAACTGAAAACGGTTTAGTCCTGGTTCAGTCCGTATGCGGCACAATAGTCCCGCATCGCATTTTAAAGTCACGGAAACGCTATTTCCCATTTCCATGACTTAAACCAGGACTAAACTAGGACTAAACCGTTTTCAGTCCTGGTCTGGTCCGGGACCAGTCTGGTCAGGTCGGAAAGTATGAATGATACACGGATTGTTCTCCTTTACAAAATGCTCCAAATTCTCCATTCTCCACTCATTCATACTTTCCAAGCAGCCTATATTTTTGTAATATTATGCCTTTATTTTGACTACGACTTTATTCTCATAAAATTACTACTTTATTCTTGTAAGTTTACGACTTTATTCTCGTAAAATTACGACTTTTCTACTTTATTGACTTTAATGTCGAAATGTTACGACTTTATTCTCGTAGCGCCAGCATTTTATTTTTTTTAATCTGACCCTTATACTCCATCGTAGGAAGTAAAATGAGGCAACCAGACCAGGGACCATGGACCTAACTATTAATAGAAATAAATCATTACTTTCAATCGATCCAGTGTTTATCCTGCAAAAAGGCCACTTCAATAACCAACATCTACAGAGAATGAATTCATAGTTAGATAAAACTTCTCCTCATCCCTAAATTCAGTGGCTGATACCTCTTCCATTTCAGTTAGTTTCTCTTATTAGGTTTGTCATATGTTAAGTTATGTTTACATTCGAGCAGTTTGTGATTACATTGCGCTCTATGAGAAAAATCTTGTCTCGGCCCATGGGATTTTTTCTGCTGTTGTATCAATAAGTGACCACTACATCAACTGGAGGCAGCTACAAGCTAGCAATACTGTATCCAGTTATTTTACTAGATCCATGCTCAGCCTCACACAGGCTCCTCCTCACATCACAAGTCTGCACTAATAAATGTCCTTTTAATCCAGACTCAAACCGATTGTCCGTAAAAAGAATATAATCTCAGTGTTGCGCACCGCTGCGGGTGTAAACAAGAACATGTGAGTGACGTGTGTTCAGGGACACCGATAATATCGGCCAGCCGATATATCGGTCAGGCTCTAATATCGACATCATTTAGGTACAACATAGCGACAGCAAAAGGAGGCATAGCGACAGTAGAAAGGACATAGGAGCACCAGGCGGGAACATGGGGACAGCAGGCGGGAACATGGGAGAAAAGGAGAAGCAAGAGAGATAGAGAGAAAGTAGAGGGAGAAGGAAGGATTACAACATCACAAAGGACAAAACCTTAGAGAAGAAAGATCTGCAAGCTGTTACAAGAGAAGAAGGAGGAACAGCAGGCACAGGCGTAGTCCATGTAGCAGGCAGGGACGTGGCAGGAACAGCGAGAGGAGCTAGAGCGGAGCCGAAGCTAACGAATATAAAGCGTTTTTTTAAGACAACTGAAGGATTTTGAGCGAGAAAAAGTTTATGATCTAAAAATAGGTAAAAATCGCCAACAAATTTGATATTTTTGAAAGCTGTAAGTGACCTGTCAGACGAACACGAGCAGTTTGTGATTACATTGCGCTCTAACAGAAAAATCTTGTCTCGGCCCATGGGACTTTTTCTGCTAAAGTTCCAGTGAGTGTCACTATGTCAACTGGAGGCAGCTACAAGCAGCAATACTGTATCCAGTTATTTTAATAGATCCATGGCAGGGACATACTGTCATCAGGCGAGGACATATCGACTAGAGCCCGATATGTCGCACCGCGGTAATTAATTATATGCATAAATGTAGATCATTCACACATCTATTCACAGCTCATTTAAATATCAATGCAGGTCCAGTAACAAATATACGGCCAATATAGTCACTTTACAATAGACCAATAGAAAACAGTCTGTTTATGTGTGGGAGCTACAGCAGCTAATCGCTAACAAATAACCAAAACCAGCTTCAAAGTTGACATATTTCCAACACAAGCCTCACACAGGCTCCTCCTCACATCACAAGTCTGCACTAATAAATGTCCTTTTAATCCAGACTCAAACCGATTGTCCGTAAAAAGAAAATAATCTCAGTGTTGCGCACTGCTGCGGGTGTAAACAAGAACATGTGAGTGACGTGTGTTCAGGGACACCGATAATATCGGCCAGCCGATATATCGGTCAGGCTCTAATATCGACATCATTTAGGCACAACATAGCGACAGCAAAAGGAGGCATAGCGACAGTAGACAGGGACATAGGAGCACCAGGCGGGAACATGGGAACAGCAGGACAAGAACATGGGGACAGCAGGCGGGAACATGGGAGAAAAGGAGAAGCGAGAGAGATAGAGAGAAAGTAGAGGGAGAAGGAAGGACTACAACATCAGAAAGGACATAAACCAAGAGAAGAAAGATCTGCAAGCTGTTACAAGAGAAGAAGGAAGAGCAGCAGGCAGAGGCGTGGCAGGAACAGCAGACATGGACAGTATGCGGGAACATGGGGACAGCAGGTGGGAACAAATTAACATAACAAATTGGTGACAAGGATGAGCATGTCAGTGCAGTGCACACCGCCTTTTCTTCCACATGTTGGTGAGCCACCTGTTCCTTTTGCAGCGTGGCAGAAAATGTTTGCTAACATGTTAGTTATAAATGCTAGTGGAGATGCATGGCCAAATGCTCCAAAACGAGCTATATGACTTAGCACTGCCTTGGCCCAGAAGGACATCACCTTTGCTACACTTTACTTCAATTAAGGTCAGTGTCGTGGTTCGTGGATCTCCTGGCTGGGTTTGGACCTGATTTAAGCCCTGGGGGTCGGTATTATTGAGGGCAAGGTGCTCCTTGATAATGACAATATAAACACCCCGTCTGCTGGTGAGCTTGGCGCACTGCGCAACATTGACTCTACTCCAACTCAAACACATGGATGTGTCAAAGGATTTATTCACAAAGTGCAAGTCAACAACAAAGTACCACCAGTACGCCAGAAACTACGATGTCTACCACTCAGCATATATAAGGAAGTGTCGGCTGAACTGACCAGACTAGCAGGCATCATTGAAAGAGTGGGTACATCTGAGTGGGTGAGTCCTCTTGTTGTGGGAAGGAAATGCAGAGGGGGGCTACACTTATGTGTTGACCTGCATGAACCAAATAAGTGTTATCTTGGACTGTTACCCACTTCCTCATATGGAGGGTAAAGCAAGTGTTACACTGACAAAAAAAAAACAGGTGCTAAACCTCCCAAACTTACAGTTGGAGACAAGGTGCATATCCTCAAGCCTGTTCTTGTAGTGAAAGGAGAGAGACAGTACACAGAGCCTGTGCCCATTCAACAACAAACTGGATACAACACCTCCATCTTCAGTGATGGGAAAAGGTGGAATGCAACGCACCGTTGTCTCTGCCCAGAGAGAACCCAGAGCAACTTCCCTGAGCTGGTACTGCTGAACAAGATATCAGCCCGACCGACACTGGACCGAGCTGTGCTGCTCCACAAAGAGAGCACAAACCACCTGTATGAACTAAGGACTCTGTATTGAAATAGCATTAAAGTCAAAGTAGCAAATAACACAAAACACTTCTGATAAAAGGCACTTTTGGTTCAAATGGTTATTACATAAGACTGAGATTATCACCAGCTGTTGATTTTAAGTTAAGTATTGTATTTTTATTTTGATAGAAATGCATTGCAGCTACATAAAAAAAAAAAAACTACTTGCAATCTTTATGAGTAATGGGGGGAGATGTTGTGTTTACAAATATGCAAATGTAAATAATGAATATCTTATTTCACAACTGTACAGTATGCCATCAACATAATGGATAATAATTGATCATCATGCTAATAATCACGTTGGCAATATGTATTTTTTTATATTTATTAACTTGACAGGTCTAGAACTGGGATTGTGCTCACTACATTGAAATTTGAACCATCTGGGCTAGAAAAGAAAATACAGGTGAAATTCAGCTGAACAGTAACATCAATCTGACATCAGCAATAAAGTATCTGTACTCTAAACGGACTTCCACCTCTGAAACTGTGACACAACTTGCATTAAATCTACTCAAATATTGGCAATTAGCTTTAATTTTTCCATTACAGTTATATCAGGGTCTTTACATTAAGTCCTAATGAAACAGAATTTTATACACCGTGGTTAAATACTGAAATAAATCGTCCTCGACATGAACAGCGGTATCCCAGTAACCCTCGCCCAAGACCTGGGCCATATTTACAACTGCTAAAATGAATGGAAGTCAATGGCAGGAAGGTCAAGAGCTTTCAAAAAACATATAATATGATGTTCCCATGTTAATGGATACATTTCTGCTCAAACTTGAGCAAAAACAAGTCAGGGTCGCCCCCTGACCTCCCATGGACTTCCATTCATTTTAGCAGTGATAAACATGGCCCAGGAGTTGGGTGTGGCTACTAGTATACTGCTGTTCATGCTGGGGGTGACGTCTCCTTTGCACTCATCGAAGAGAACTCCCTCTCAGTGGGATTGTCCTGTGCAGTACCCTGGAACAGACCTTAACTGGTAAAATGTAATATTTTTAAAGTGTAATATTGGTAATGTATAATATTTTTGCAGTGTAATATTTCTGTCTGTTATTTCAGAAAGTTAAACCCATACGTCATATACACCCTTTACACAAAGAGTGGAAATATTTATTATATATTTTTAAGTGTTTATTTCTTGATTTTGTTTAAGACCGTGGCTTCCAGAGAATGAAAAAACAAAAATATATTATATCTCAGAAAATTAGATTACATAGGATCAATAAAAAATATTTTAAACAGAAATGTCAGGCTTCTTTAGCAATGACCTTTTGTGTTGTTCTCCTTCCGGAGGGTGTCAGAGACTGTCAGCAGCCTTCCCCAACTGTGTCTTTATTGTGAAACCCACTGACCCAGACTGAGAGACCATTTAAAGGCTCAGGAACCCTTTGCAAACCTTTCCCAATATTCTGCCTTTTCATAACATTCCAATTTTCATTATCTGTAAGCCACAATCATCAAAATGCCAAGAAATAAAGGCTTCAAAGCTTCACTCTTTGTGTCTGCAATATATGGGTTTGACTTTCTGAAATGAGAGACACAAAATATTGAACTTTTTCAAGATATTCTAATTTTTTTAGATGGACTAGTGCGTAAACATGCATGAATACCATAAAAAAAAAAGACCAAAGACCCTTGAGCTGGTTCAAGATTTTTATTTTATTCTTTAGGGAATGACAACAGTGTCAAATATAAGTGTTTCTCCTTTGACCTCTTGTGGAAGACGGTCATTCCAGGTCCATTCAATGGTTCAGTTTAACTCCACTCTACAGGTGTACTAGAGCTCATCTTTGTGACGCACAGAGGGAGTAAGACTGCACATGTGAAAGAAACTATGAAAAGAAAATATGTCCATTTGTCTATTTTCAACAAAACATAGACCAAAAAGCACACAAGACAACATGACATTAAATACATTTTGGGTGGTAGCTACTGAAACAGGACACTACTCCCCACTGCAGACAGACACTGCTCTCCTCTGTCTCATTAAGCAGGAGTGCATGAAATCAACCCTGTAACAGCATCAAAACATGGAACCCACTTTGCTTTTTTAAATATATATATCACCACTCGTCATTCAATTGCATCAGAAAGCATAGTATTTAAATGTTGTGGTATAATTCAAAGTGTTCACTCACAAGTTTCACATTTTTTCCACTAGATTTTGTTCTGAAACGTCAGGCCTGTCATGGTCAATACTATTCTATGGACATATCGTTCAATCAGTGATGCGTGGGACTGTTTTTGGTGTTTATCGTGAGAATTGTTTATACTACTGTAATATAACATTTGAAGTGTGGAGGCTTGGATAACAACTTATTATAGATTCAAACTTGCTACTTACCTATTGAATTTTGACATTTATTTACAGCCTCTCAAGTTTTTTAAACGTGGTTTTGGTATAATCCTGTTCATGTGTGAGTGGCATAAATTATTCTAGATTTTTAAAGGCAATATATCACACTTGCTTCTAAACGTGTGTGGCGACAGGCCTATGACATGGGCTAAAATGTGTCTTAAACAAACATCTGATTCAGAAGTGGTGCTTGGATGTATACCGATAAAGCACGTCTATGGGGCGCTGGGATTGACTGGTGAGGACTAGAGCTAATCGATAGGCGTTTGGAGGGTGGTTTTGGTGGGAACGGGTGCCTTCAGAGTGGTCTCTGGTGTCTACGCCTGAAACTCGAGCCCCAGGCCTAGTTTGTGGCCTCCAGCGTTGATGTTCTTTCCGTCGAGGAGAGCAGAGAGGGTCAGTTTAATGCCTGAAAAACACAACATACGTGTCAAAGTATGGTCAAAGAGATGAAAGTGTTACCTGTTTCCTATGGTATACGCTGGTTTAGTGCCATTTTAAATGTTTAATATAGGGATGAGTGATATATCGGTTCCAGTATTAGTCAATATTGATACCAATTTGGCAATATCGGTAGATATTGATACTCAATACGATATTTGATATTTTTGGGTGCTTCTTTATTTTGTGTGCCGTTTTTAAACAGACTCACGAGTAAAAAATAGAACAGTGTTATACAGCTGTACGTTTACACAAACTAATAACGTCATCACATTTCCATGGAGACAAACAGATGAAGGAGCATGCACCAGAAAAGCAGCGTAGTGTGCCTCTTATATGATTCAGTGCCTTTCTGTTTAATGACAATCCAACAGGAAGAACATGCTAAGAGCCTGGAGTTCTCCTCAAGTTCTCCTTGTTTAACCCATTGACGCCGGATGCTGCGCAGCGCAGCGCTGAGTCTCCTGTCCGGATTGTCTGGCGATCAGCGTAACTGGTAAAGGCGGGGCCACAACTGGAAGCATGGGGGGCGTGTCCTCCTCTCGCTTCCATTCACTCCCATAGAGAGACACAAAACTGCCGGAGCTGTATTGTCGCGTTAAACCTTCTTTATCGTGGCGTATTATTTCTCCATTGAAAAATAATCCAAATGTATCCCGCACATGTTCCCATCAAGACCTGGTTTGAAGTAACAAACGTTGCTCTTTACTGCAGCGCATGAACGCGCTCAACCACTTGATCTGTTCGCTGTTCCAGACGCTCCTATAACAGGTGCCATATCGCTGTCGTGTAGCAAATAAACATGGTCAAACACAAAAATGCTGACAGTGACAATGACAGTGAAGACACGGACAACATTTGTGTTTGACCATGTTTATTTGTTACACATAGTGATATGGCAGCTCCGGCAGTTTTGTGTCTCTCGATGGGAGTGAATGGAAGCGAGAGGAGGACACGCCCCCCATGCTTCCAGGTGTGGCCCCGCCTTTACCAGTTACACTGATTGCCAGACAATCTGGACAGGGGACTCAGCGCTGCGCTGCGCAGCATCCGGCGTCAATGGGTTAAATAAGAAAGCCACATTTTCCTAGGAGTCGAACCCAGGATCTTTTGGCTGTGAGGCTGAAGTGCTAACCACTGCGCCGCTGTTATTTCAGTATGTGGACAGTGTGTGGACCATGTATGGACATCAACTGAACATGTTACAGAAACTCACCAGGTTTGAGAGTCTGAGTGTAGCCAAGACCCACCAGACTGGAGTTGTTCACCTTCGCCTGAAAAGAAGAACACGAGTGTCAACAAAACAAACTGCACATGTCTCATTTTATATAAAAACACACAGAAAAAGTCCTTCCTTGTGCATAAATTGTATCTGCATTATGAATGGAGTTTTCTTCCTGTATTTTTGTACTTTTGTCAACTTTTTTCCCCCACAGACTGACATTTAACTGATTAATATTTAGCACAGGTACAATCCATCAAACCAAGTCAGAATGAGGAAAAACATTTGAAGGCGCACTCACAGAGAAGGAGGCGTCTTGGTCGATCTGGTATTTGGCTGCGATCCCGAAGCGTGTGTTGCTGTTGCCCGCGGTCCAGGCCAGGTTCACGGCCGTCTCCAGCTTATCGTTCACCTTCTGATAAATGGATCCGCCGAACTCTGTGCCGTCGTTTCTGTTAACGCACAAGAAAAACAACCATTACAGCTCCATGCTCAAGTACTGAGCTCAAGGAGAAGTGTCCAGTGGTGACGTCACTTCCCCGTCCAAAAGCAACATTTTGTTCCTTATCCATCAAACAATAGACGGTTAGCATTGTGTAGTGTATGTTTAATCACAAACCGTATCAAATGTCAATAATGTAGTAATATGCCAAGATAAAATAGGATGACCAGTGTGTATATCTCACTCGTACTGCGTTCCCTTTCTTGTGATTCTAATGTTATTTGAGAGGGACTTAAGTCTAACTGGAGTAACAGAGCATCCCATTGATTAGGCATGGCACTAATTATTCATCTGCTAATCGTTCAATACATGACAGAAGGAGCTATTATTTTGCAGGGTTAATATTTGTCATGGGGTACTTTGTCTTTGTAGGAGTGAGGAATATTCGATTTTTCTGTGACACAATAAGATCTGAGCTGTGGACGAATGAACAAATCGCTTCTATGACTGATTAACTCTTTCATGTATTGATTGCAGCGCTTGTTCATTCACTATACTGCATGTGTAGAGTAGTTTAATTCACAGTACTGCATGTGTAGAGTAGTTTGATTCACAGTACTGCATGTGTAGAGCTACTGCATGTGTAGAGTAGTTTGATTCATTCACAGTACTGCATGTGTAGAGTAGTCACAGTACTGCATGTGTAGAGTAGTTTACCAGTACTGCATCCTGCATGTTGGGTTTTTGTGTCAGTAGCATAATGATGACATTCAGTATCATTGTTTATAGTCTAGATTTTCACAGTGCAGGTAGTATAATTGCATACTTCAGAATGTTCACAGTAAGGATAACTTTAGAGTGCACAGATGCACACTACATTTTACATTTGTAAAAAAAAAAGTCTTACATTGTCAATTTTCACTGATGTGTAGGCATCATGACGATGAATGAACACATAAAATGAACACAAAAAGTGTGAAATCATAGATCATTATAAAGTTAGTTCCAGTTCTGAGAAAAGTGTGGATTCACTCTTCCTGCTCCAGTCGTCCTCTGAGAATTCAGCCAAGTGGCACTAAAATACATCTATTTATTTGGAGATGGATCATCACAATGGAAGTACTTCACCAGAGGAACCTTGTGTGTTTAGCATGAGACAGTCTAATAATGGCTAAACATGGCTGAAGTTCACAGGACACAGTTTTGCACTGTATATGACCTTTAACAGCCATAAAGCATATCTAAAAATGTTCCACTACCAAATAGACATACATCCGTGACAGAAATGGAAGAGTGAGTGAGTTGACCCTTACACATTGGTGTGCAGTTGAAACTCGTCAGTCTTGTAGCCCACGGCGAAGTTGCTCTGGGTGACTCTGTTGCGCCCGGCCTCAAACGTGGTCTGGTAGCCGGCGAGCCAGCCCTCATAGCCCACCACCGCCACCCCGTGGATAGCCGTGCCGTTGATGTCATAGTTCACGTCACAGCCCACGTTTATGTGCTCGCACTTATAGGCCCCCTTCAGTTTACCGCCCTTCTTCCTGTTTGGACACAGAGAGGTTCAGATGTGGGATTAAAGGGCCGGGCTCATATTTCACTGTTCACATGTAGTTTCCTCATCACAAACAGACCACGAGTTACGTTTGTTTCAATCACACGTTTAACACACAAACCTGCATTGAGTTTTTCTCTCAAAATGAAAACACTCTGCTCCACCTTGTGATGTTATGTAGTAATACAGGAAGAGCTCCACTATGTTTTTAAACTCCATACATCTTCACTAGAATCATTTGGATAGTTTAAAACCTGGAATTTCTGACCTGTACAAGACAAAGGGAAGCTGCTAACTTGAAAACTACAACTACATGACATCACAAGGTGGATGTTTTGAGCTTGGAGATGTACAGACCAATCCTGCAGGAGTACACGTGTGCATGAAACAAGACTCAATTGTTCATAATATTTATACTTTCATTTTAGTCCGGTGTTAGGAGAAATCATCTGGAATAATCAAACTGAGGCTTTGTATTTTGGCCTGATCTTGTCTGATCTATTCAAAAGTGCTAAACTCTTTTTTTGTTAGTGTAATTTTTATTTATTCGTGGAAAGCCCCTTGAGATGCAGCATCCTGTTTTCAAGGGGGACCAAGAACATACAACTTATGAACAGTTTATTTTTGTTTATTCTTTTTCAAAGGAGGAGTAAAGCTGGTGTCCGGAGGGATGGTCTGATGCTAAAGCCAATATCAGTAAAAAAGTTTTAACAATACCCCATTAACATGTGGTGAATTTCTGACTTTTTATTAATGGGTGCAAACTAAACAGGTTTGTTGCATTTGTGACACCTGGTGGTAAAAGTGTAGATTACATTTCCACAGCAAAACTTCTAGTGTTGTGTTCATTGGTTTAGTTTGTATGGACTAGTGTTGTCATGAAGCTAATATTTTGGAAGTTAAGGAATAGAGTCGATCATATAAAGTTATTGTGTGTTATTTTTAATAGAGAAGCAATACCTACATAAAAGAGTATAGTTTCAACAGTTTTAGACTGGATTAGAATCTCATTTATAATTATTTGAACAACCTTATTATGAGTAAATATACAATATATACTATATAGTAAATACATTTTTAATTGAAAAGTCTTTACCCAGTGTTTGGTGAGAAAGAAGAGTCGAATGTCAACTTGAGGCCTTTGAGCAGCTGAAAGAACAAAACAACATGAGACATGAAAAATAAATGAGTGTTTATTATAGGGCTGGACAATTCAAGTTTGAATAAGATTAAGTCCTGTCTAATGCTCTTGAATAGGTCTACAGCCAGTCCTGTCAGTAAAATGCCTGTGGTTTGGAGCAGACTGAACACTTTTGAGGAAGAAATGTGTCTATTTTAAGTGACCCTTACCTTTGGTGATTAGCTATGACCAAAATGACAAGATCACAGGCACAAGTGGTTAAAATGATCGCTGGTGATCCCTTAGAGATGGGGTGAGGAGCTCAGTCATGGGAGGAGCTTGGAGTAGAGCTGCTGCTCCTCCATGTAGAGAGGAGAACCTCAGATCAGAATGAATGCAAAAATTCTGCCTCCCAAACTATTGTCCATGCACATTCTGGTTTCTCTCTTGTGTAGTCAGATGATAAAAAAACATCACACTGAGCCCACTGTCACTGATGTCATTACTTCATTGATCTGGGCTTCCCCGAGTCACCAGGAGATACACAAAGCACAGCTTAAACTTTAGGCCTGAGTTAGCTTTGGTCAGACCCAGACTTATTTCTTATTTAAGCTGGAGATGGACCTAATTTCAGCTCAAGATGTTAGGATAAGCCTAGACTTGTTAAGCAACTTTGATGGAATAGCCCTTATGTGTGTGTGTTTAAAGGTGTTTACCTGGTCTTCGATGGTGATCTCGGTGCCCAGTGTATTGTCCGTGTTCCACTTCTCAGTGAAAGTCAGGCCGTGCTCAGACCACTTGTACTTGGTCTCCAGGGAGCCGTTCACTTTACTGGTCTCAGTGTTGGCTGACCCGGTGCTCGTGAACTCCTACACACCACAAAACAGAATACAGAATAATTAACAAGACATTGTGCTTATATCTATATGGTTATAATCTCTGACACCCATGGAGCATTATATTATAATCTGGACATTTAAATCGCAATATTCATCTAAAATGACAGATTCGTCTTTTTTTTCATGGTCGATCCCGAGGACAATTGTTTAGAATCCAGTGAAATCAATAGGTGATAAGCTCTGTTCATATGTAGAGCCGATTTTGATTATTGTCTCCAAATTCTGAAATTTAAATTGACAACAAACTCACACATAGCTCTTTTTTACCACAACCCTATAGGAGAGCTGTGTCGTCACACTGTGTGCAGTGCCCTTTCAGCACTCAAGTGTGCAAATAAAGCTTTATGTGTATTCTTTAAGCAGCTGTTTGGCCCAAACTAAATATCGACGTGTGCTGGAGATTTAAGGCCAATAGTATAAAGTCCAAACATCACAACATTAGCTGATAGTCTCACGTTTGAAATTATTATTGTGCCGATACTAACATTTCAAACTCAATTCCAAGGAATCCACTCAATATGCGATACCATTATGAAGATAAAACAGGTTCCTTTTTTAGTAATGAAATATGGTATGTGATTTTTATATTTATACAAAATAATAGTACTTTCTTTATGTTACAATGAAGTCTTGTATTCGCTCTCTTAAAGCTCAGTCATACAATCAGTGTTCAGGAAAGCTCAAACTTTTTCTTGTTAATGGGATTTGTTTAGTATCAATACCTGCTCAGATGAGTATCTACTTTTGATATTAGTTTTAGTATGGATTAGTATTGGATTTTCAATGTTTTTATTGATCTCTGCTGCGTTTGGGACAGTTGATAATGTATGTACCCACATCTCATCCCAGCAGAACCCAGCAGTGAGGGAGTTGTTGACACAGTAAACATCACTGAGGGGAATCAGGACAGACAGATCACAGCAGTGGGTCATCTGAGATCGGCAGGTGCGGCTAATCCACAGCAGCGCGGCAGGTGTAATGAGCAGGTGAGAGTGACAGGTGCGTCTGGGGCTTAAGCTCATTTGGAGACAGACTTACCAGGCCATTCTCTGACTTTGTTTTCAAGTCCAACTTAATGAGACCGAAACCTGGGGAGACAAAAAAGTTGCACAGGTTAGGAAATCCTCTCATATACGGCATTAATAATACAAATAGTAGTAGAGTTTATTGATTAGTCGCCTTACAACAACATTTACAAAAGCATTTTTATACAGAAGTTTAAATAACAGTTAAAAGGTTAAACACTGCAGCTATGGTCTGGTGGAGTGAAAAGGCTGGTCAAAACTAAGGCTGTTAAAAGTATTGAAAATCAGATACTAATACAAACAAGACTAAAAAGACTTGAGCCTTTTGGACTATTTACATTTTATTATTTATACACATGGAAGTGAGAAACACAATTTAGATTTTTTGAATGTTTTTTGTATGAAGAATTGACAATATTTATTTTTATTTGTATGTATTTTTCTACTTTTGAACTTTAATAGATAACAAAACTAGTATTGAAACAAGCGCAATCAGCAATAGGCGAGTTTCAGCTGATGTCATTGTTATTAAAAGCCCGCATTGCATGCTGGGAAATATTTTGGTCGGAGACAAGAAACACGGTAGCGTCAAACACAGTGCGTAACCTCACGTATTTATCCCCGATAATGGTAAATTCCTGCTGCATTATCGGATGCACAAATAGAAGCACGGAAGAAGGAAAATGTCTTTTTCGTATTCTGAGTGAAAAGAACCGCTAACGGTGAATTAAACGGCTTTCAAACATTTGCAGAGCAAACTTAGAAGATCCTAACAAACCGTGGACTCCAACAAGTTCAACAACACATCGAGACTCTTGGAGGTTTTCATCTTTTCTGCTGTGAATGGCCCAGGAGTTTCCACCAAGTCATTGTGGATATCGCCAAAGTGAATATTTAGCCAGGTAGTTGGAGATTCCGACCAGAAATTTGGTTTGGTCCACCTTTTGTAGGGGTTGAAAAGGGTGATTTGGCGTCCGTCGATGCTTATGACCAATTTCTGGTCAAATCGTCTTGGGTCCTCTGCCGTTAGAGTGGATATATAACCGGGATCAATACCCTTTACGTGCTTTCTCGCTCCATCCGTCATGTTGAATTAGTGTTTCTTCCCAGCATGCAACGCGCGCTTTTGTCAACAATGAAACTCGCCTATATCAACCTGGTCCCCCATGAGGCATCGGGGCAGTTCATCACCACGGAAGCAGCCTAGGAGGAGCCCAGCCCATACCCCAGTTACGTGTGTGCCAACTTGTGTGATGATTGGGTGAATATTTTAGGCCGCAGATGGTTCAGAAATTGCCGAAATTGCGGATTCTTTATAATGGCGTGACCTTTCAACTGACCTGTGTGACCTCAAATGACCTTGGATAGTCACCAAACTTTTTTTGCGGCATCGGCCACATTTGGTGACAATCAGTTCATAAATGGCGGAATTATCACGGGTGGACAGACAAACACACGGAGAATACAAAACCTGGTCAATCCTTTGGGGACCAGGTAACTAGATACTCATTTGAGCAAGTATTGATTCTAAAAAAGTCAACAGAATGGAACCTTTCCTGAATGTCTTTATAATGATCTTTAGCTGCATCAGAACAAATGTAAGAGCACATAGACCACTGAGGGTTACACTGATATAAGACCACATGGGAATACAAAAAGCACTACAATTTAAGGCTAAAAATGCACATTCTATTGTCTAAAGAGTTTTGCTTTTTTTTATTACCATTGTGGTATCTTGGGTCTTGAGTCTATTCCTCAAGTTAGTATCAAAATCGAGTTTCAAATGTTAATCTTGACAACACTAGCGTATGAGAAACTACCGTCATTTTTACAGAAGAGAAGCCATTTTGTGGTATGAAATAAGAATGAGCCAGAGCAGAAGCACGTCCCAGCGCAGTCTGAGCATGTGTGTGCTGATCTGAACAGAGCGCTGTGTCATTAATGAATTATAACTAGGTCATCATGTTCATTTGTCCAGAGTCCTGTTCATTCATCGATTCATGCAGGTTCTATAGGGCCACATCTGGACTGTGTGCTATTCATGAGTTTTAGTTTGCCGTTTTGAGGCACCGCTTGAGTACTTTACCCCGCAAAAGATATATACAGTTTTGAATTGTTAATTTCTATGGCAGCTCTGCTAATGCTTCAGTTTCAAACCCTTGGATTGTCAAACTAGGCTTGATAACTGATATCAGCAGATACTTAAAGCTATAATATGGAAATTGGTCTCAGATTAAGACAAAATTGTTATTGGTGAGCATTTTTGTTTGGTAAAATCTCTAAGTTTATTGCATTTTAGAGGTCCAGAAAAAGGTCAAAAGACAATGTGATCGAAATCCATTCACATCTCTCACCGCAGCGATGACTGCGTTACTCTAGATCAGGGGTGTTCACACTTTTTCAGCCTGCGAGCTACTTACAAAATGACCAAGTCAAAATGATCTACCTAATACAAAGCCAAGCAAACTGCACTGAAACACTCTGTGCCCCTTTTTTGGACCCTCACCCACAGTTTGAGAACCTCTTCTTTAAGAGAACTTCCTCTGGCACTTTACACAAAACTGAAAAAAGTGAAGGAAGATTTTTAAACCTGTTTTTTAAAGTTCCAAACTGGAGTTGCATTCTTTTCTGGTTTTGCAGTGATATTTACCAGCCTCTGCACATTTACCAAACCAAACGCACATCGTGACAAACACAGATGCATTTGTCACTTTTGTTAGACAAACTTCAGCCAAATGTGGCAGTAGGTTTGTTCTGTAGATCCGCTCTATGCTGTAGACCTGCTTTGTGCCAACACTGGAACACAAATTTAGACTGGTTTTTGCTTCACGTTTGGTCTTGCTCTTCTAATCAGCCGCACTGTGGGAGGGGCTTGTGTTCGCTGTACGCAGGAAGGAGCGAGAGCGTGAAAAGGCGAGGGGCGGCGTGCTGACGTGAGGCAGATGGACAGGTAGGATGTTTAGGAAGTTGAACCTGCCCTGTGATGCACGCTGGTACACGAGGGCACACGCTGTCGCAGACGAGCCGTGCATAGGGAGCGTGTGTGTTTGTGATGTGCCGTAGAGTCTCCGCGGGTTTCAAATGAGCGCACAGACTGCACTGAGACGCCCCACACGCTCCTAGACGAGACATGGCGATCTACCCACACGACCTTGGCGATCGACTGGTAGATCGCGATCGACGTATTGAGCACCCCTGCACTAGACTCACCGTAGCCCTTGGTGAACACATCCCTGGCGGACTTCCCCAGGTCGATGTAGGTGGGAGGTACGGCCATTTTCTGCAACAAAACAAAACACAACATCCTTAGATTCTGTAGAATATGAATGTGAGGCCCGGTAGAACAGACCCGCGCGATTTATATGAGACAACCGCAGAAAGAAAGTGAGTGAGTGAGCTCAAGATTTGGTATTTTTTGCTATCTTTGGATAGCTTTGTATTTTTTTTTAAGTAAAAAAGCAGATTAAATCCACCATTCACAAGTTGAATCTGTCTTTAAATACATTATTTCCTACTTTTTCCTGCTTAAATAGTAGTTTTTGCATGAACTCCCCATGCAGGTGTAGTCGTGTGAGGGCAGTCTGGGTCAGAGACACACAGATATGCAATCGTTTTGAGATCTTTTGCCACACCCTCTTTTTATGTCCTTAGGCAACCAAGAATTTCTTTAGTCGGCTGCCGTGTAGTTCACTCTGCTTTTCAAAGAAGCAACCAAACAATGCACTTTAAGCCCTGGAGAATCATCATTGTTCATCAAGTGTGAGACTCAAATTGCATTTTTTGATTGAACAGTCCTGCACTTGTCACTAGTCCTGTCTGAGTTTGACCATTTTGCAATCCCCTCCTTTAGAACTCCTGCGTTTACTTAAGCCGTGGCTCTATTTACTCTCACTTACCCAAGGCTCTAATGCTAACTGAGTTGTTGGCTCTGTTGAATGGACATTTCTCAACACGAGATTCTACTGAACTAAAGGATCGTGTTGTGAGTGTTGAGGGAGCATGAGGAGCGGTTAAAAGTGAACTCCCTTTCCCAAACCACAGTGAGTCACATCCTAATGCCAAAACAGAGTGACAGTGGTTTTCCATAGAGACTGAATTACTCCGACAACCTACTCCAAAATCTCCACGCAACAGGTTTAGCCAAGTTTCTAAACATTTCCTACTGGTTTTACAACAGAAGCACATCACAAAACAAGTAGTGTTGACACAATACTAAAATTCCACACCATTTCAATCGTAAGGAATAGAGTCTGTACTCAATACAGATTTCGATTCCACATGATAATAAGAAAGTTTACATCTTTAGATAATAAAATGTAATTTTCAACATTAAACCTTAGTCATTTCTTTTATATTACCACATGGTTTTATAGCTCAGTGGTCCAGTAGGTTCCATAGTGCTCCATGTGTGTACACTAGTCTATGTGCTCTTATACTTGTTCTGATCCAGCTCAAGATCATTCTAAAGACATTCAGGACAGGTTCCTTTCCGTCCCGTCGATGGGACTTTTTTACATTTCGACACTTCCTCAAATGAGTAATTTAGATCCTTGATTACTGTCTGATTTTCAATGACAGCCCTAATCTTCAATGAACAGGTTTAGTCAAGTTTATAAAGATCTTTCCACTTATTCAAACAAGGCATGGGCGATATGCCGAAAAATTCATATCAAAATATTCTTAGAGCCAGATCATGTTTTCTATTGAATCACGATTCATGTAAACTTCATATTGTTTTGAAGAGGTAAATACATTCATCTGATATACACTAAAGCTGTGCAATTAATTGAATTTTGATCTCCAAACTCATATAATCGAGTTGAAACTATTTAAGCTTAAGAAAGTTTATTATGGGATTTTTATTTATTTTTTTTTTTATATATAAATAAGTATATTTAAAAAATAAATAAATATAGAGATTGTATAACAGCTGGATATATAGTTTATTTTGGATACATTTATGCTTTTCTGCCTTATTTCATGTTCAAATTATTTTATTCATTTTATGTTTATACATCGCAAAACTGCTCTAAGGTACAGGTAGGTAGAATTTGAAAGTTTTGAAGTAAATTATCAATAAAGTGTTTTTTTGGTTTTTTTTGAGAGAGAAATGCTGAATAAATGCATCGTGTAACTAAAAAATAATCGTTTGAATAATCGTGCTTTCAATTTGGACCAAAATAATTGTGATAATGATTTTTCCATAATCGAGCAGCTCTACATCACACTTCAGTGCTGTTGGTTAAATTCACCTGTCACTCCAGATTACTGCTGAGGCTGACCAATAGAAGGAGCGTCATCACCATCTTGCCCACGAGTTGTCGAAATAGTGGTTTGGTACTAGGGATGGCCATGATTAATCGGTTAATCGATAATTGATCATTAAGAATTTCATCGATTACGTTAATTTTAATCGACAAACTGAATGTAGGTTGCTGTGCGTAGCGTGTGACCAAACAGGGGTCCGTATATGTGTCTCTCTGCACTCAGAAGGAGCGAGCAAACAGAAAACAGTCAGTCTGCCTGCAGTGTACCGAAGCACAAATGCGTACGCTTTCCGTTGCGTTCGGGACAAGTGTGAGTCCATGTGCACAATGTACAAAGCAGGAACATATGTTTCCGTGTCCAGTGGGAAAAAGTTTTTCCAGGTGAGAGTCGCGCAATGTGATGACGAGTCCCCACCTCCCTCCCCCCGTACGGTGTCCTGGTTTTAACAAACGCAAATCTGGTCACACTAACCTGTATTCCACTGAGTCATGTCTTTTAATCCGACAGAAGTTGAACCACATCAGCGACACAAGAGCTGTAGTTTTATCTTCACTTAGTTTATGCAAATTAACGATGCGGTTTTAAGTTTCGTTTCTGTGAGAGTTGCGCAAAACTGAATTAAACACATTATAATGTCAAACGGATTGATGTGGCTCTAGATTCGTTACGGTTTATATGTCGTAAAGTTGAATTTATTTATGCAGATTAGTAGTGCAGATAGTAATAATAATGATGATCATTTTAATATAAAAACGTTAATGATTAATCGATAATCGATCGTTAATTCTTATGACGATCGATTAAGAAAATTTCATCGAATGCCCATCCCTATTTGATAGTAATAATAATGATGATCATTTTAATATAAAAACGTTAATGATTAATCGATAATCGATCGTTAATTCTTATGACGATCGATTAAGAAAATTTCATCGAATGCCCATCCCTATTTGGTACAGTAAGTTTTGATGGAGTTTGACGGCGTATTGGAGAGTACCAAAAGTAAGGTACATTATTACCTTTATTAATCCATTTTGTAGTTCTAAAATCTAGGAACTAGCCGCTATAAGTGATAGCCTCGATGAGCTTCATTTGACCTCTAGCTGAACGCTATGGGTGGTGTCACTCTCAGTCCACTTCTTCACACAGTCTAAGTGGAGTGGTGTGTGTGTGTTTGTTGTTTTTTTTTCCAAATTAAAAATTACACAAACGAAACCCTAAACACTGGTCGCTGCTTTGTTTATTTTTAATACTTCATTCAAAACGGAATTCTTGCATCAGACATTGAGTTCACATATCAGAAAGTGAACTGGATAAGCCGCTCACACACACACACACACACACACACACGCACACACAAGTACACACACACACACAAGTACACACACATGCACACAAACACACCCCTGCGGATGTTCAGTGTTGAAACTCTGATGTGCACAGAGAAATGTCACGGACCATTACAGGACACTCAACCTTCAGACAGACAGGTCAAGAACAGGACTGAAAACCAGCACTGAAAACCAGGACTAAACCAGGACTGAAAACCAGGACTAAACCAGGACTAAACCCAGGACTAAACCAGCACTAAACCAGCACTAAACCAGCACTAAACCAGCACTAAACAAGGACTAAACCAAGACTAAACCAGGACTAAACCAGGACTAAACCAGGACTAAACCAGGACTAAACCAGGACTAAACCAGGACTAAAAACCAGGACTAAAAACAAGGACTAAAAACCAGGACTGAAAACAAGGACTGAAACAAGGACTAAAACAGGGACGAACCACGGGACTTAAGCCAGGACTGAAACAAGAGTGAAACCAAGACTAAAACCGGGACATGGCTCAACCTTCAGACACAGGTCAAGTGTAGAAAACAGCACCACTCCTGCCTGTACTACAGCTAAACCAAGAAAAATCAGAATTAAGAGACACTCAAACTATAAAATCACTTATTATTATTTAGATTTAGTCAAAAATAAATAACTAATAACAAGTAAATGTTTTAAGATAATGGCTCTGTTAAACGGAACTCTGCAAATAAATCCAAAGTTATCTAAAAGTCTTAACATATTTGACATAACAGTAGTGAGTTTGATCAGAGCGTGTGGAGGCTGGAGCAGGTCCACGCCGGACAGAGGGCAGCAGCATCTCTGTCCTCTCGGTTAGCGTTAGCATTAGCATTAGCATTAGCAGCACGGGTTGATTTGACTGACAGCTGGACTAAAGGTCACTGGACTCAGGTAAAGCCGGGCCTCTTCTCCCGCTGAGCCTTCGGTAAGACGCGAGTGTTAAACCGTGTGACCGCCGCACGACACACGAGCCACACGGGCCACACGAGCCTCTCCCGCTCACAGCAGCAGCAGCAGCGGGCCCGGCCTCCGCTGCGCCCGGTGTCCAGAGCTAAAGCGCCGGGGCAAAGGCGCGCAGTGCACCCGGGACACGCGCGCTCGCTCTCCCCGGGCAGGAGCGGAGGGAGGCGGCGCTGACAGAGCAGAGCGGAGTCCGGCGGCGGTGGAGCGGAGCGGAGCGGGGGGGACGTACCTGCGGGGCCCGTGCTTGGAGTTCGGAGAGCGGAGAGAAGGAGCTGCAGCTGCTGCACGGCACGACCAGAGGAGACGGAGCGTACCGCGTCACGCTCAACGTCACGCTCAACGTCACGCACAGACACGCTCACGCACGCACGCAGCCAAAGATAAAAAAAAAAAAAAAAAAAAAGTTCATGGGAAATGACGTTTAAAATTAATAAATATTTTTTGTCAGTTTGTCCTTGTAATAAACCCATTAATAAAAAAAAAATCCATAAAAATAATAATAAAAATTAATTAAAAGATATACTAAATGATACAAAATTAATGAAATAGATTTTATTGTCAGCGTATTCATTTTATTCGGTAAATACCATGTCCATAAAATGAAATATAGAAACATACTGAAAACTTCAAATTACTCCTAATTAAAATATAGAACTACAGTACATCACTAAACAAGTTGGAAAAGGAAATCCATAAGAACATTAAATATACATTTAAAAAAAAATATATATATATATATACACACATACACACACACATATATACATATATACATATACATATACATATACATATACATATACATATATATATATGTCTGGTGTGTGACCTGTTAATGAAGCAAATCATTGAAACTACATTATCTCTGCTTCACTTTGGCTCCTTCATTCCAGAATTTTTTACATTCTGATGACATGGAATTTTAAAGGGCTTAATATGGGCTACAGCAAACTCCACGTGCTGTCAGTGGAGGGCGCCAACCGTCTACTGACAGTAGTGTGTAGGAAAAAAAAACAAAAACCAAAAAAACATCCCCATTATCAGTGCTATGTTTTTTGTTTTTTTGTTTTTTGTTTTGTTTTTGTTTGTTTGTTTTTTGCCCGTTTTTTCCTTATTTGTCAAATTTACTAATTATTTTCCATTGCTTTCCCTGGCACTGTTTTTATTATTAAAGACCTCATATTATGCTATTTTCTGTTCTATATTATAATGTTTCCTCATCAAAAAGAGTTGTGTTTTGTTTCATTCCCACATGTTTAATATATAAACCTTGCAGATTTAGGCTGAGTTCTTTTGTCAAGCAGAAAACACTCTGTTCCATCCTGTGATGTCATGTGGTGATACAGGAAGTGCTCCTCTGTTTTTTTTAAACATCATACACCTTCAATAGAACATCAGAGCATTTTGAGTTTTGGAGATATAAACAGACAGAGAGAATAATAAAGGACTGTATGGCTAAATTACCCAGGAGTCAATTTTGCGTAACAGAACCTTAAGTGTTGTTTTGTCTGTGTTCTGTATGTTAAACTCTAACTGACCATTATATATATATATTTTTTAAAAAAATGGGATTTAATAAGAGCAGTATTAGCCTTAAATCTGTGCAGACTAATCTTGGTCTTATTAAATCCTGCATTAGCCTTAGATGTATCATTTGGTTCAGTGTGTTGTCCTTCTGAAAGACCAGGAACCAAACAGGCTTTTGCCACACGACTTACACACCACCTGCCTGTTTTATCCAGGAAAGTGTTAGTCCACAATTTTAGAAAAACATATAAAATACTTAAAAATAATACTAAAAACAGAATCACTCTCACATGTTCTGGTGGAGGCTTATCTCCATGGTGATATTTGCCTGGAATTAAACTTCACTGATCCACAAAGGAAATACTTGGACATGTTCCACAAAAGTATAAAATTGTCTCATCTCTACAGAGACCAGCAGGTGGTGCTGCCAGGATAACTTACAGGTCAGATCTGTGGAGAGGCAAGCTCTCTCACAATAATGCAGTTTTGTTTTTTTGAATACAGCCTATTTTTAGCAATAAAATACCTGGATACATCCAAGAGATATTTTTAATGCCCTACTGTGGAACATCCCACACAAAGCAGAAACAGTCCACTGTGGATCTTTGTTGTGGAGATGAGTATATATTTGTAGTAAGTTTGTTGAGGCTCTGTGCACAGGTGATGTGAGGTAGGCGGCATGCTCACATGTGCATGTTGTGGCCTGGTGTAAGTCTGGTGTGTGAGCTGCAGCGGTGCACCACTCTTCTCTCTTTGCTGTTTTTTAACATGTTTTTTCTGTTGTTTTGTTGATTTTTGCAGTTTCGTGGAATCTGCCTCGTGTGGTGCACAGATGGGACAGAGCCAAACCCCAGTGTTTCCTGTTCTCCTGTAGCACCTGCCTCTGCAGCTCACAGTGCACATGTGTATAGGACTGTTATATACGACTGCATATATATTTTATACCTCACTAAAGTCCGTGGTCAGTCCATTTCAAAGGCACATGCACTCTGAGACTCGGCCTTAGTGCTACAACTAAAGGATCTCTTAAGAAGAATGCACTGGATTTATAGAGCACCTTTAAAGACACTAAAGTGTAACTTTACTTGTAATCTTCATTCACTCCACACTCACACTGTGGTGGTGCCATTATTGTAGCCACAGCTGCCCTGGGGCACACTGATGGAAGTGACGTGCCATCTGACCACCAACACTCACACACCTTCACCTGTGGGTGAAGAGTTTTGGCAGCCCCGTGATGGGACTCTGAGATTTATTTTGGCCTGTCAAGGAAATAACTTTGGGCCCCCTGCTAGAGACATTAGCGCCCCACTGTGGTACTTGTATTCCCAGGAGTCTCCCATCCAAGTAGTGACCAGGCCCAGTCCTGCTGAGCTCCTGAGATAAGGCGAGAGGTTTTAACTGGCAGGTTTGGTCATTATTAAATCTGGTCAGAAATTTTTGAACTTCCTAAAGAGAGAAAAGGAACATTTCTGAAAAGGAACAGTTTTTCCAAGTTATTCCTAACCAGACATTCCTATTTCTTATTCCTTCTTCTTGACAGTGGGAGGAAACTATCAAACTCATATGAGTAGTTTGCTCGTCTTTGTGCCGACAGCAGTGCATTCTGGGATCTGAAACATTTACAGAGAAACCAACAGTGCAGTCTGTAACTCAACATGCGTCACTTTTCTTTTGGCCACTTGGTGTCACTGTTGACAGTTAACAGCAGGGAGCGCCCTTTGGTGAATCAACCAGTGTCATAACAGAACAAGATTTAGAAGTTATTTACTTTCAGACAATAAATCAGACTTTCAAATCATAGTTCTCATAGTGTTAAGTTTACTGCTCATTGAGGAGTTTGGAAATAGAATCCCTCTGTTGTCTACGTGATATAAATGTCAGCAATGTAGTTTAAAGACTCTGTCCCTGATATTTACTGTATTAAAAAAAAAAAAACAGAACTAGTTCAATTTAAACAATCTGCAATGGTCCAGAGTTGTTCCTCACTTACCTTATGCACCTATGATTCATGAGTGGATAAGAACTTTTCACAACTAGCATGCTAAGAGTGCACTTCCTGATTATCAAACAAGAAAAACGCTTTATAATTAGATGCAGGCAGCACACAATGGACTTATTTTGACCTGAAGAGCTGTTTATACAATCTAACTGTACTGGGGCTGTTTGTTATTGTTCATGTCGGATTTTTGCTGAACCATAATACAACACAAGCTTAACTCCGAAAACAGTCTGGAGTGGCAGGAGGTCCATTATAATATCACTCAGGGACCACAGACTGTTTAAAGAAGTGGACTAAGGGAGTGTGACCCATAGTGTTCAGCTCCAGTCAAATGAAGCTCACTGAGGCTGCAGTTACAGGAGGGAATTTAGAGCCAAGTTCCAAATTAGGAATTGACTCCAGCGTGAAGCGAGGCTGCTCAAGGGAACGCCTCTTCCCGCCCACACCACGGCTTTAGCAGGGAGCGAGCGCTTAACTAAACTTCAACGCGTTTCATAAAGAACTATGCATTTTTTATTTTCTTCTCTAAAATGTATGAAACAAAATTCTGCTGTGCAATTTACAATGACTGTGGAACGACTGAAAGTTATTTTATTTTATTATTATTAGTTTTTTTTGTTTATTTTATTTTTATTTTTTTTACAATTTTAGACTATCTTTTCCTGTATATTCATGTTGCTACTCGTGCGTCTTGTACGTCTTTTGTTTTACTTGTGTGAAAATTATGGTAATAGAATTGAATTATTTCATTAAAGGATAACAAAAAAAAAGGAAGCAAGCGCTTAGCAACGCTGTCAATCAAACCTGTTGCAAACCTGTTAATAATGCCAGATTTGTCTGTTATTAATGCTCATATCTTGATTTATGGACAAAATAGCCGAAATAAAAACACCAAGATCATGTAGAGTGTTGTTACAGCCTCGGCTCAAAGAAACGCAACCAAGAAAAGAGGGAGACGACAACAGCGGCAGTTTTAAATGTTCGGACATTTATTGTAAAAGCATATGCAGTGTTGTCGTGGTGGATCAATACAAACATTTTACCAAAATGATGAGTCCGACAGCAGCAGTTACAGAGAGAGAGGAGAGTTGATGGAGCTGGAAGTGCACCCATGTTCACTTCCTACAGTCTAAAGATGCACAGATCTGCTACTGGTACCAGTGCCAATCCTGCTGGATCACATATCAGCTTATAAATATCTGTTGAGCCAATGTCCTGGTTAGACAAATAAATAAATATATTAAGACTGTTTACTGGTCGCAGTCGGCCCAGAAACTCTCAGAATGTTTGAACCTTTTTATACAAAGTTGTTTACTTGAGGATGAATAACAGCTCCATAACACACTAGGAGCACTTTTGTCTGATTTTATTTTTGTTGAATGGAAATAAATGCTGTTGTCAGTCTCTGTTTATATCAAGTATCTGCAGATACTTAAAGCTGTAGTATCAATATCACTGCTCTGTCTGAAGCTCATTTATCATGTGTGGTTTGAATCTGGTATAGATTTACTGTATATGCTTAAAATGTTCTCAACAACACACAAATGAACTACAACTTTTTCAACAAAAATAATCTACTAAAAATACTAAATAAAATACTACTACTTTATTTTATTTATTTATTTTTATTCATTTATAAAAAATACATAGTATTGATGCTTTGCAGTGACATCACACTGGGGGTGTCCTTCATGTATGTCCACGGTGGAATGTTCAGCAGTTAAGTCGTTGTTTTGCAAGTCTCAAGTAAGTCTCAAGTCTTTGACCTCAAGTCCGAGTCAAGTCCCAAGTCAAATACAGGCAAGTCCA